CTTGATTGCAGTTAGCAGTACTGAGAGGTGAGGGAATCAGTTTGAGTGGGAAAGAAGCATCCATTCCCCTTTGATTGGAAGCTGAGTGCTGCAAGTGATGTGTATTGCACGTGGGATGCCATGTGAAGGGCATTAAATTTTTGAACAAACTCCACCTTCTATATATATATATATATATATATATATGCACATATATACAAACAAACACACACACATATATAAAGCACTTAAGAAACAAAATTTCTAATTTGATAATGGAGGAACCAAACAAGAATCCCATGTGGGAAATCATTGACCTTGGATATAGAGGACTAGAATCCCCTTCCCCTTTTGGAATGATTGTGTAGGAAAAGTTTAGAAACAAGTTGTTAGGAATAATGTTGCACTAGCTATATGTCTTAAATATCCCAGTACAAGACAGCAAGTAATACATTAAGACTAAACATAAACCTATAAATTAGGTTATTGTTACTAATATTTTTTGGTTCTCTTTGTCCCTTTGATTTGAACTCTTCTAAAGTTCTTGGCTTGTTTGTTAGGGGTCTTCTAATTAAATGCTTAAGCCAAGTTTGAGCCGAGAAGAAGCCGGACATAAAAATAATATTTAACTTGGACAAAGAAAGGCAATTTAACTATTGACTGCTATACTTATTAGAACAAAGAAAATTAGAGTATGATTAGAGAAATATTTAAATGCAAAAGTATAAATATTCTTCTACCTAGAACTGCAATTGGTATGAATTAAATTTTATTTGTAACTTATTGATTAGATATGTTATATGACTTAGATATTGAATGTAAAACCACTAGTCTCACCAAAAAGTGCTTACTGATATATGGGACATTTACGCTTTATCCAAGTACGCATGTCCTTTTAGTATATATTTACAACATAATTTTTTTCATATTGTTGTTGTTATTATTATTATTATTATTATTATTTTATGGAAAGGCCATTTAGATATTGAATGATGTAATAAGAACAACAACAAAATTAGACTATAATTAAACCAAGAATTGCTTACTGATACGGGACAATTTTCCTAAAAAATAACCTGTATGTAATAAATGAAATTGGTCGGCCATACAAAAAAGGGAAAGTTAAATTCCACGTCGGCCAATTCTAATATATATTGCTTCCACTTTGGAAGATCTTTGTATTGAGGCAGCAATTTATTTATTTTTTCTAATTTGGACCAGCTCATGATGATCACTCTCGAGACATCAACAGTAAATGCCATTGTGGCCACTAGAATTGCCGGACATCTACCAGACCAAGTACTCAAAACGCATGTATTGCATGAAATGACCCTGATTTTACATGGCCAATATTCAAAACTCTCATAAGTACTAGTTCTGTTTCAGGCCTTTCTTCAGGCCCCTCCCAGCAACCCCACTTGCTTGGCCGTGGCTTGTCTGGTGGACCTGTCATGTGTTTTGGTTTTATATGGAGCTCAGTCGTTTTTTTTCCTGCATGGAGAGCTATTAATGGTGTTTTCAGGGGTATTTTAGGTATTCTACACGCGTATGTATTTTTCCTAATTATTCTCGGGGTATTTCGTGCATGTTGTTTATCCTAATTCTCGTGTTATAAGTCGTTTTATCTAGAGAAAAACAGAGAGACTAAAAGAGACATTTTCGTGAGGATTGTATCTTGTACTTCTTTCTCTGATTATAGTGATATTTTATTACTGCGATTACATATAACTCTTATATTGGGAGTGAATCACTATAAATCCTGTATTCACGCGCTTTTTATTATTTTATTCTCCTTCCCATTTTTCAATTGCCCTTGAATAATACAAATTAGGGGCATTTAGTTCATAACAAGGACAATTCTCTAGCCACACAATTTCCCTATTTCACATGGAGGACAAGAAGCTGTTAGATTAAGCCTATGTTTTTGGTTGATTTGTGTTTGCCATACAAATTATGGTAAACATGAAATGTGTCTTTTTTAGTTCAATCAACACAATAGCTTTCTCAAGATGAATGTTACTTCTAAAAGGGCTTGATTTTTTGTCTTGGTTTGATCCATTTGTTAGCATAATTATAGGGGTTTTGGATATGACATCTTCTGTCCATATTGTAAGCACCAAAAACCAAGTTTATTTTAATATAATTGAGTTGAGCCTTAACAGCTAATCAAATCAACAATCAAGTTAGGTTTTCTTATAGCTAGCAAACAAGTTCTAAGATGAACAAATTAGGAACAATGGAAAAGAAAAAAAAAACCTGAAAATTACCCATAATAATCAGAGACAAACATCAAGAACAAGTAATGTATCAAAGGAGATTATGTTTCTAAATTGGTATTTGGGCTTGAAGAAGGCATAAGATCATGTCTAGCCATGAACTCCATACGTGTGTTAAGCCCATAGCTTGGTAGACAAAATGTGTTTGCTATTTACAAAGCAGAAATACAAGAGAAAACCATTCTGCTATGCATGATTGAATTGTAACAACGTTTGCTGATACAAAGAATTCTGTGTGTTTTTTATAAGTCTTTTAAATCAGTATAAAATGTCGAATATTATTGATTAGCGAATCCGCGGCTGCCTAGTGGACCAGATTAAGAATCTCCTACTGATTAATAAGTAGGGCCAATTTTTGGAGTGTCAATTCACAAAAATCTAGCAAATCATAGTATCTGGTGGAAAATCAATATTGGGCCAGATTTATGGCTGTCTTTGGCTTTTGACAAGGAAAATTCTAATTGTGCTTGGTGTCTTTTTAATTAGTTGATTGCTCAGCTAAATATTCATGCTAGATAAGATCTCCCTAATGAAAGTCTACTTTAGCTTAGAATTGATACAACCATATAATGAATGTTGGTTTCCAAATTGACGTCCTACGAACTGCTAAATCAACGGTAATTCTAAGGCGATTTGAAGTAAGTGACTGCGTAAAGCGTTTTCGGTTTCGGTTATGCATCGACAAGATGGTTCTTGTGTTTCACCTCGTGTTGGACAGGAATTCTTAAGAAACTGTTAAACCTTTTTCCAGTTTTTCTAATGCTAAATGGTCATACAGAATAGAAATTTTAGTCACATGACAATGATATGTTTACCAGTAGATGTTCTATTTATGGCCCAGTGGGGTATAAAATACACACATGCACATATATATTTTCCACTAAACTTGTGAAAGAAAAATTCATGATCAAATCAAAGAAAGTGATCTTTTTGGTGACTAATTTGTAGTAAGCTTACTTTTTAAGAGATTTGTTGAGGTATGCAACAGTATCTCTCAGTATTGTTACTGCATAACTTTGTAGTAAAACACTTTCACGTTCCAAACTTATATTATGTTAATTAAAATGACTAATCATAATCCAAGAGAATTCCCAATTCAAGAAGCCTCAAACCAAATTTTGGTCAACTTGACAAGTTAACCACATGCAGTGCAATGTTGTAGCAACCATCTATATATATATATATATATATATTCGTATTCATATTCATATTTATATTTATAGCTGGTAAACAAACAAACTGCACAAAATTTCAATGTGAAAAGAGGAGCATCATTCTTTATCAATGAATTTTATTTCCTCTTGGTGATGCTAAGGCGGTGTCAGTGTTGCGTCATGGAAGAAAAGAAATAGAGTTGGGAAAATAGTAATGTTTTGTGATTGGCCAAACAAAACACTATGCTTCACGTTTTGATGCTTTTCTTCGTATGAGTATTTAATGGGCTGCAAAAGGACACTGCATATGAATTGAGACTAAAATCATATCAACATATATGGAATATAATTTCTCTGTGGACAAATTTGGTCTCTTCTTATTATGAAGAAAAGTTGTTTGCATTATTGCATTGCAACATATTGAGTTCAAAGTTCGATGCTCTTCTTGTCTAATTTTCCTGCTTGCTTATATAATGTCATATTCCACTGTTTGTGATCTGTGTATGACCAAAGGAAATGTTTGTACATCTCCAATCCATCGAAACAATCGGTCACACATAATATAGTTGACTAGACAAAACAGAAAATCAGGACAGAGAGAGTTTTTGTTTTAGTTTTTTTAGGTATTTCTCTTGTAGGTGAAAAAAAACAAACTACTTAGAAGTTCTTATTCTGTATCAGAAATTATTTATTATGTATATTTTTTTAATTTAATGTAATTTTAATCATATCTAATAATTATAAACCAACATACAAATAAAGAAACTCTTTTATAATTTTTTTTTTTCCTTTTTGTTCTTTCCGACCTTACTTTTTTTTTTCCCGAAAGAATTAGACCAAAAGAAAATGTAAAGTGAGATCATAATTACCTTTTAAAAGAATTACATTTTTCCATGATCTTTTTCCCATGCATTTCCTTGGATGCTACGGAAACCAAATCTAAGAGTTGAGTAATCATAAAAGAAGTCCCTAATAATTTACACCCGTTGGATAAATCATTGGCCGTTCAACCACCCATTGCCTATTGGTCAATAAAGCATGCTTATGATGTTGACCTTATTGTAATAGGATAGCATTAATAATACATCAAAGTCAAGTGGTCAACACGTTCAAGGAACCAAGATAACCAAACAAACAAAGCCTTAATCCAAGCCCCAGCCAAAAGTTTTGAGCCATTGAGAGCCAAGTCAATTAGTGAAGCCACGGCCGAAAGGAGCTAAGTAAACCATTCAACAGAAAGTTAACTGTCATTTAACCAATAATAAAATACAAAACCAACATGATGTAACAAACAAAACGCTACATAAAATATAGTCAGTCATGACAAGAGTGAAAAGAGAGAAAGAGACTCATTTACTATAGCTCGTTACGTATGCTTTCATTTAAAATAATATCATATCACAAATCATCATCGGTGGTTATTAATAATTTTGCTGCATATTAATTCACATGTCAATTTTGAGACTTAACTGAATATTTTTGAACGGTTGGCAATGTTCACTTTTTTTTTCCGTCTTTTATTTATTAGGTCTGCAATAAGTATTAAGTACAAAATACTAGAAAGGGCTTAGCTTTGAGGCCCCTCCCGACCACTCTTGTCTCATTTTCCACTGCCCCATGTCCCTTAGAACATGGAGGAAATTATGGCAGTTTTCCCTATGCTGAGCTTATAAACACCCCCTTCTATCTTTCTCTCTCCCTCTCTATCTTTGTGTGTGTGTGTGTGTATATATATATATATATATATATATCTTTCTCTCTCATGATCATCATCATCAAACCCCAAGAATAAAAGCTAGCCCTCATACTTCCTAGTTCTTGAAGCAATTTACAAAACCATCAATAACCCAAGTGAGAAACCACATAGATTGATAGAAGAAGTGTAAAGAAAGAAAAGTATAAAAGAAGCTCACTTTGTTGCACCATCATTGCAATCAAATCCAACTAGGGAAGTAGCCATAATCCATCTACAGTAGTAACACACACACACACACACTTGTTATTAGATTTTCCCTCCTTCCCGGGTCTCACAAAGCAAAAGCAAAAAAGAGAGAACAAAGAAAGAGAAGAAGAAGAAGAAGAAGAAGAAGAAGATATAAGAAATGGATATTGAATTGGTCAAGTGCGAGTGCTGCGGATTGAAAGAGGATTGCACTCAAGACTACATCACGGATGTGAAGGCGAAATTTGACGGGAAATGGCTATGCGGGTTGTGCTCAGAAGCCGTCCGAGATGAAGTTAGCAACGGCAAAAAGCCATTCGGCATGGAAGAAGCCGTGAAAGCTCACATGTCGTTTTGTCGTAAGTTCAAATCGAACCCCGCTGTCCGAGTAGCCGATGGAATGAGACAGATGCTTAGGAGAAGGTCAGGGGACTTGTCTTCCTCACCATCTTCTTCTTCATCCAAGAAGTATTCAAGATCATCAAGTTCATCACAAGTGGGCAAAGCCTCGACTTTCTCATTGTACTAATTCGAGTACTCGTTAAGTGGAGAAATTCCAACCTTTTTAAAGGTTACAATAAATATGTGATAAATTGGCCTTTTATGGCTAGTAAGGTCTCTCTCCACCTTCCTTCATGTACAGAGGATTTCATCTCAAGTAGAGACTTAATTACCGATTCTGAATTTAGTACCTTTTTTTTTCTTTCTTTCCATTTGCATATGGGCATGCTTCACTTTTCTTTTTCTTGGCTACAAAGACAAGTTCAAAGGATTTTATCAAATGAGAAAAATACTATATTCTTCTCTTGCTTAAAAAAGGAAAGAAAATGTTTTCATTTCTGAAACACTACTATATAATAAAACTAGCTAGAATTTTCTTCTTGCTTCTTAAGTTGGATTTTGTGTTTCTCTCTTTGGAGAACTATTCATATCCAATCATAACTAGGCATGCAAGATGGCTTAGTTTTTCTTCTATCTTTGCTTTCCCCTTATTTCCAGACAAAAATCCAAACTGGTTTAGAGAAACTCTTTAGATGACTTCAAAAGTTGCTGGAAATTTTCTAAGCAAGGGATTTTAAATAAAAAATAAAATAAAATAAAAAAATTTTCAAGTTAATTATAACTTTTGAGCCGGTTTAGAAGGAAAGTAACATGATTGAGTTTAGATTAGCTATTTATTTCTTGACTCCCAAGATATTTTCCCTACCTGTCTCTGATTGGCTTATTAAATACAACAAAATCAATGACATATCTATTCTACTTGTGCACAAAATAAATGTTGTACTACAAGTCAACTTCCTACTCCACCAAAAAGGACTAATTATACAAATAATAATATGCCATAAGCCTCAATTATTCAACCTAAAATATGACTTTTTCACCACTATAGTCAGTGGTTAAAGAAAGTAATGTTATATTAAAACTTATTAAAAACCTAGTGCTTTGTTTAATGATGAAGTACAAACATGGCCAACACGTTAAGTTTGTTTTTTATCCAAGTTTTCCCGTCAAAAGATAATGCTAAGAACAAAGGTCACCCTATAATTAGGACACATGTAATTGAGGTTAAGAACGTATTAGGTTCCCATTTCTCACCTAGGATTTTTTTTTAATAATTTTTTACGAGTATATATTTCCCACTTTATGTTGACAAAGAATAGTTAATCGCTTGGAATAATAAAAGTACTTAAAAAATGTTAGTTAATATGCATTTGCTATCGGAGGAAATCTTAAAAGGTTCAGGCCAAAATCATATTACAATGATGATGTCTTATTATATTTAGGATCTTTTAAGCAATATAACATTCTATACTATGATACTCAGGGCACCACATATATATATATATTACTTGCCCTAGTTCTTTACTATCAAGACCAATAAAATAAAATACAATGAAGAATATATTTAGAGAGAAACCATATGTGAAACTAGTTCACTTTAGGAGTCTAATTTGACCTAAAAGTTAACTTACTAGGTATTGGGTCATTCCATGTATATAAATCATTTTACATTCTCATCCACTTTGTATGCGAGAGAACACACGCACGCACATTTCTTAACAATCTCCCCCTCATGTGTGTATTCACCGAACTCCCCTTCGAAGAGCTCTCCCTCAAACTAAAGTTTCTAATAGCCAGCATATCTAAGCATCGCACTCCAATCGGGAGCCAACTCGAGCATGGGAAAGAGAGTCGAAACCATGTGAGTCCACCAAATACTCCATCATCCCCAGCTGCAACTTCATCAACTGTGAGAACACCAACCGAGTGTGATTGCTTGGCCTATACAAACCATCAGCTCTGATACCACTTGTTAGGGAGACACCACATGCGAAACTAGCCTAACGCACTTCAGGAGTCCAACTTGACCCAAAAGGTTAACATATTAGGTTTTAGGTCCTTCCATGTATATAAATCATTTTACATTCTCATCCACTTTCTATGTGGGACAACATACACATTCACATTTCTCAATACTATTAGGGAAAAACTGTAACACCTCGAGAAATTAAACACGATTAATTAAAATAATTAAGATTTATTAGTGTGCCTAATCTGGTTAAATTAATTAATTATTTATTAATAAATATTTCTGATGTGTAAATTTAAATATTTCTAAGGAATTTAAATATTGTCAATATTTACATTTGCACCCCAGAAGTGTGTGAAGACACATTTTCTGGACTGTTTTCTTAAATATCTTTGATGTTTATCTCCTTTTCTTTTCCTTTTTCTTTTTTTTCTTTTCCTTTTCTTCCTTTTCTTTTTCCTTCCTGTGCACACTCAGGCTCTCTCCTTCTCCTATCATTTTTTACTCTCTCTCTCTCTCTCTCTCGTTTGTTCCTCTCACTCTCTGTCCCATTCAAATTGTCACCAAATCATCCGGATTTCGAACCAAAGAAGAATTTCAAGGAGTTTTTAACGTCAAGAGAAGGATTTGAGGTATGATTTCTAAAAAAACTTGTCTTAAATCTCAAATTTTTCTGTTAGAAAACCTATTTTTAGTTCGAAATGGATTTTGATGGATTTTGAGTAAAATCCCAATAGAAATTGGAGATTTTTGGTTCTTTGAATTTGATTTAGTAGCTAGAACCTGGATTTGGTTGTTTTCCCTTGAAATATTTCAGATTTGAACTCGGATTTGCAGGTTTTGTTCTGATTTTTTTTTGGATCGGCCATGTCGGCCATCCTGTGCAGCTCCCACCGATCGACCGGTTCCTTCTCCACCGGCCGACCGGTGGAGAACAACCTCTTTGTCACTGGTCGACCGGTGCACACGAGGTTTGAACCTGTTTTGTCTAGAAACCCTGTTTTGACCTCAATTTTCGAAGAAAACCCAAACTAGCTTCATTTGGGAATCTAAAGTGAATGGATTGACATCTTTAATCCATGTTTTGAGATTAAAACCCTTGGAATGATGATTTGAAACATGAAATGATTTATAAAACTGGTAATTGAATTATGGCACACTAATAGGAAATCAAAGTGTATAATTGAGATTGATTTGCTTTAGGAATGAGAAATGAATCCTAAAGCCTTGTTTTGTAAAATTGAAGGCTTCGAGGAAGCGGAGGCTAGGATAGCGCAATGCTAGCCACAGGTTTGATACTTGTGAGGTAGGATTTCTTATCCCTTTCTTTGATAGCCTGCTTTTAAAAGAGTTTTAGCCTTGCAAAGGTTTTAAAGAAAGGACATGTTGGCGAAAGAAAAGCATTTTAACACAATAGCTTAATTTTAGCTATTGGAATTATAATGAACTATTTCAGAATTTTAATGAACGATTTCTTAAGATAATATATCTTGCGAACTGGTAAGCCTGCTGATGGCCTAGATAGGATATGAAGATCATATCCTTGGGGGCAAAACCCGAAACCCAGACTGGGCCACTACGGTGGTGATAAGGCTTTTGCTTGTGGTTGTGTAAGTAATTTATCAGAAGATGAATTACTTGCTGATGCCTGTAATATGGACTTTTGAGTTTATATTTCCTTTCAGAAAACGGATGTGAGGTTCCGGTTGTTGTGTTAGAACTGAATATCTATATTTACTTGTTTATTTATTTATTTACTTACTCATTCAATTATTTATTTGTTTATAAAATTTGTTTCAAAATACATCCTACTGGACATTTCGCTCACGTTTTATTATTTCTATAAATAATAAACCCCTCCCATGCGACGCTAGGAGCAGCGCGGAGTAGCTGAATTAGGGCTATCGTCTGATAATCGAGGATTGTGTTCATTATCCTAGTGTACAAATGTAAGAATTGTAAATTCTAAAACCCTGAACTATAGATTACTAGACTGTAGTTGATGTCTGTAAATGATATTTACATGTTCATGTATGTACAATATTGTCTATCTTGTGGGTGGACCTTCAATGATGCCAGAGGCTCAGTTTCTAAACCTTTTTTCTCAGAAAGTGTGAAAGTCCCCATCACTTTCTTGTAATTTAATTTCAACAAAATGTGAGGCTTGTTTAGAAATTTTTTTAATAGTGTACTTTTGATTTTGATTATTATGTTTCTAAATGTTTAATTACTTTTCTATTCTTGTTTAACCTCTAAACAAGCCTCCACGTCACTAACCCCGGTTTTGAGGCGTGATAAAAACACACCTTTATACTCAAGCAGCAGAAAAATAAATTGAAACAGAAAAATTGAGAAGATAAAGATTTTGGTAGTTCGGAAAAATTTTCTACGTCCACAAAAGAGAGAAAAATAATCACTAACAATTTTAAAATTACACACTTAATAATTTTCTCAATCTCTCTCTACCAAAAACCCCTTACACCCTTTGCCTATCTCTCTTCTCAAACTTCTCTCTTTCTCTCAAATGGAGGCAATAACTCTTTCTCCACTTTTTCTCTCCACACAAACCCCTACATAAAGCACTTATTTATAGGCTCCTGATGGGCCATAAAATAGTAACTTACTCAAAAACACAAAATAATAACTTATCCAAAATCACTTTGAGGCACTGACCGAACAATCTCCACATTAACTCAAATTCTATCAACTTTTGGGTATCCAATTTTGACACTTGTCATCGTTCCCCTCATAGATAGGGTGACGACGATGCAAGCTTCAATAAGAGTAAATATGTGTCAAGTTCAAACTCTTATCAAACTTGACACGAGAAACTGTCTTTTTTTTTTTTTTTCAAAGCATATTTCTATCATAAGTCTTCACCATCTTGCTTTTAGCATCTTCAACCATTATCATATTGTTGCCCTTTTTCACTCCTGCACTTCTTTCACAACGGAGGAAGACTCTTCATAGCATGACTCCACCTTCATAGCTCCACCTACAAATGTAGTCTCAATTAGCTTATACACATTTTTTCACTCTTTCACCCTTCATGGCTACTAAATTATCTCTCTTGACTTGCATAAAACCACCCTTCACATAATACTCACAACATAAAGTGTCTAATGCCCCTAAAGAAATTAAACTTCTCCTTAGTTGAGGACACGTTTAGCATTTGTCAATTTCCTCACAACTCCATCAAACACTTTTACCTTCACAGTACCTATTATAATAGCTTTAACACTAGAATCATTGGCCATCAATAAAGTACCAATATCAAGGGCTTATAAGAATCAAACCACTCCTTATGTGGACACATATGAAACGAGCATCTAGAATCTAAAATCCAAGAGTCAGAAATATTTTCATTAGCAATAACAGAGTACACATCATCTTCACTGTCTTACATGTCGCCCACAACAT